GCATTGTTTATAATACCACAGATTGGAGGCCACCCAAATGTCTGTCAAATACTAAGTAACCACAGTCTGCAAAATAATGAGAGAGCTATATGTACAGAATGAAAAGATAAGAAAAAATGAAAAAAATGTTACAAACACTGTATAATGATTCCATTTTTAAAAAAGTATCCTGAGCAAATATATTTATCACAGGGAAGACATCTAGGGAAATACACAAAAGTGTCAAAAAAAAAAAACCCAAAAACCCAAAACCTGTTAAGAGTTGTTGTATGGATTGAATGAGAGAACAGGTCGAAGTGCTTAGGTGCCAACTAAAGAGAGAGCCTAACCAAAGACTAAGGAAGGCTTTACTACTATCTCTAAAACAGGATGGGGCACACAAGTCAGGTGAGTAGCCTTGTCTTGCTCCTGACTTTAATGGGAATATTAAGAGTAATACTGCTGGAGGCGGCTGGCTGTCTTAGTCAGCAGAGCAGGCAACCCTTGGTCACAGGTCTGTGAGTTCAAGTACCATGCTGGGTGTAGAGCTTACCTTAAATAAATAAATACATACATACATATCAAAAAAAGTAATACTGGTTGATTAATGTGTACATGTGGGTGAGTACACATGAACTGGATTTCTACCTGTGTTATGTTAAAGAAGTATACTTTTCCTTTTATCAGAATATTTGTGAGGAATGAATATTAAATGATATCAAATTTTTAGCATTTCTCTTAATTATTCTGCTTTTTCCACTTTTGATTTATCTATATTGTGAATTGGATTAATGGATTTCCTTATACCACTCTATCCTTCCTGAAATAAATAAATGTGTTTAGTCATTTTCAAAATATCCTGCAAAGTTATGTTCATATATTTCTTTAGGCATTTTGCATCTGTATTTATAAATAGGACTGGTCCCTAGTTTTTCTATTGTACAATCTTTATAAGATTTTGGCGTCATGAAACACTGGGCAGTTTATTTCTTTCTCTATGTTTTGGAATAGCTTTAATAGTAAGAGTGATTGATTTCCTGAAGACCTGAGCCGAAGGCAGCCTCTTAACCGACTGAGCCACCCAGGCGCCCTAGATTTTCTCCTTTCTTTGAGTCCCTATTGGTAATTTATATTTCCTGACTATTACCCATTTCATTCAGATTTTATATTTTATTTTTTATTTTTATTCTTTAAAGATTTTATTCATTTGAGACAGAGAGATACAAAGAGAGAGAGCGCATATGAGCAGGGGGAGAAGGAGAGGGAGAAGCAGACTCCGCACTGAGCTGGGAGCCCGACTCGGGGCTTCATCCCAGGACTGGAGATCATGACCTGAGCCATAGGCAGACGCTCAACCATCTGAGCCACCCAGGCGCCCCTCACTCAGATTTTAAATTACATTAGCATAGGATCGGACAAATGCTGACTGAATCCTCCTCTCCCTTTATTTCTCATCATTTCTTCTGTACCCATCTGTAAACCCTTTCTCATTCCTAATTTGTGCATTTCTGTTTTGTCTGTCTTTTTTATTACATTAGCCGGTGGCTTATCAGTTTTGTTGTTTGCTTCCTCCCAACCCAAAGAACTCTAGATCTTAGATTTATTCATCAGTTATGTCATTTTTCTGATTTTGAAATCGTTCACTCTGCTTGTGTCTTTGTTTAACTCCTTTCACTTTCTTTGCATTTTGCTTTGTGCTGTGGCTTTTTTTTTCCCCTTCTAATTTCCTGTGTTGTCTGCTTTCTTAATGAACTTTTCTTTTGTCTTATTTAGTAACAGAAGTGTTTAAGGCCATCCATTTTCTTGTGAATACAACTCTGGCGGCATTCCGTAAATAGTTTCACTGAGTTATTTTTAAAATAGTCTATAATTCAGTTTTTAAAATTTTGTGTTGAAGTATCATATACATACAGAAAGGCAAACATACCGACATATGTAAAGTTTAGTGAATATTCACAAATTCAACACCAGATTAAGAAACAGAATATTACCAGTACCCAGGACCACTACATAATTTACAGGGCCCGGTGAGAAATGGAAATGTAATGTTCACATTTATTAAGAACTGTAAGATGTGTGACAGCAGAACATTAAAGCCACTGTGGGATCTTTCTTTTTTTTTTCTTTAAAGATTTTATTTATTCGTCAGAGAGAGAGAGAGCGAGCATGAGCAGGGGGAGTGGGAGAGGGAGAAGCAGGCTTCCCGCTGAGCAGGGACCCCGATGCGGGACTAGATCCCAGGACCCTGTGATCATTACCCGAGCCAAAGGCAGCACCTTAACTGACTGAGCCACCCAGGCGCCCCTCACTGTGGGATCTTTCTAAATGCAGGGTCCTATGCACACACTCACAAAGCTGGCCCTGCCGGCATGTGTCTGGGCTCTCCACCCATCCCTGACCCACCTCCCTGCCAAGGGTGTCCACTCTCCTGACTTCAGCAGCAAGAATAGCTTGACCTGTACTCCTCTGTGTCCAGCTCCTACTGCTCAGCATTATCTTTGTGAGGATCATCCATATTTTCACATGTAGTTGAAGTCCATACATTTTCACTGCTGTATGGTTAAAACGAGTCTGTAATTCAGTTTTGATCTATCACTGATTGAAGAATTGTTTAGGAGAACTTGAAAACTTTTCCTAGTTTGAGTGCATCAGGCTGACTAAGGACCAACTGCCTAGTTTCAGGCTCCTTTTCCTCTGAATGAGTGGGCCCTTACGCATAGAACATACTGTATGAGTAAGGGGGGCGTCTGGGTGGCTCAGTTAAACATCCGACTCTTGATTTCGGCTCAGGTCATGATCTCAGGGTCCTGGGATCGAGCCCCTCATCAGACTTCACACTCAGTCTGCTTGAGATTCTCTTCCTCTCCCTATGTTCCTCTCCCTGCTCGTACTCTTGCTCTCTCAAAATAAATAAATAAATTAATTAATTAATTAAAAAAACATACAGTATGAGTAAGAAACAGTGAGCTTTATTCCTTCCTCATGTTCTTCTGATACACAATGAAGAAGAAAGAAGAAGTTAGGGTGCCTGGGTGGCTCAGTTGGTTAAGCGACTGCCTTCGGCTCAGGTCATGATCCAGGGAGTCCTGGGATCGAGTCCCACATCAGGCTCCCGGCTCAGCGGGGAGCCTGCTTCTCCCTCTGACCTTCTCCCCTCTCATGCTGTTTTTTTCTCTCTCTCTCTCTCTCAAATAGATAAATAAAATCTTTAAAAAAAAAATAAAAATAAAAAACTTAAAAAAAAAAAAAGAAAGAAGAAGTTAACCAAAGTTCAAGGCAGCAGCTTTTTTAACCTCTCCAGGCAGAGGTTTTTTGTTTTTTGTTTTTAATTTCCCCAGAGTAGTACCACACACGGATTGTAGACAAAGGGACTGAGGTCGTGTTGTCAGCCTGTGAGTTGCCAAGGAAACTGGAAAGAAATTTGGTCCTTCTTTGTCAGGTCAGGGAAAGCACCGTGCTTCTCTCACGGATCCAAACAGTAAGGCCCTGTGCATGGCCATTACCTCAGGCTGTCCTGGAGCAGTGGCCAGTGGGCCCTGTCTGTATAGGGGGGCAACTGGCTACAGTTCTGACATTGAGAATGGCTGGATATTCAGGGATGAGACCAGATAAGTAGTCCACTGGTCCTTAAAAGATGTATCGCTAGGGGCACCTGGGTGGCACAGGCAGCTAAACATCCAGCTCTTGGTTTCAGCTCAGGTCGTGATCTCAAGGTCGTTAGGTGGAGCCCTGGGTCAGGCTCTGCACTGAGCAGGGAGTCGGCTTAAGACTCTGTCTCATTCCTCCTCTGCCTCTCCCCCTTCCCACCCTCTCTCTCTCTCTCTCTCAAATAAATAAACAAACAAACAAACAAACAAATAAATAAATAAATATGTATTGCTAAAAGCCAGTCACACTTTTACATTTCAAACCTAATGTTGAAGGCTAAATTCAAACTATCTTACTATAATCAACTTGCACCAGCCGACCTTATATTTAACGAAGGTCTACAGCTCAAATTTGGTGACCGAACATAGACCAGAAGTGCTATAGGTAGAGGTGGAAGGCCTATCATTGAGATTCTTTCTTGAAAGTGAACAATTTTATTTATTTTTTGATAATAAAAAGCTCATAATACAAAATTCAAAAGGCACAAAAAGGTATATGGTCAAGGGTGAGCCTCCCCTTCACCCCCAGCTTCTAGCCTGTTCCTCAGAGGCAGCCAACATTACTGTTTTCTTGTGTACCCTTTCAGAAATGGTCTATGCAAATATACGTAATCTCTTAAATACTTGTATGAGAACTTGTAGTATATTATGCATACTGTTCTGCACCTTGCTTTTTCACTTACTGTTTCTTGGATGTTGTTTCCTGTTAATACACATAGGACTAGTCCGCTCATTCTTTTTTTTTAAGTTTATTATTTTTTTTTAGTAATCTTTACACCCACATGGGGCTCGAACTCATGACACCAAGATCAAGAGTCACACGTTCCACTGAGCTAGTCAGGTGCCCCCCCCATTCTTTTTAAAGCCTGCATAGTATTCCATTGTGTAGATGAAGCATAATTTTTTTAAAAAAGTTTCTTTTAACAACTTTATTGAAGTAAATTTGCATACCATAACATTCATCTATTGGAAGTATACAATTCAATGATTTTTAGTACATTTATAGTTAGGTGACCCTCATCACAATCCAGTTTTAGAACATTTCTATCACCCCAAAGTTTCCTTATGCCTCTAATTTATCTTTTAATCACTTAATTAAACTTTGTTTTTCCTTCTCAGTAATTCATTTTAACATTTACTGGGGTCATGATCTTTTGTTTTACAACACTGGAGAGGATTTGGAATGGTGACGATGTGTTAGAGTGTTTCAAACCTTATATAGTATTGCTCCTCTTTTATCTTTTTTAAATTTTTTATTTGTTTAGATTTTATGTATTTGACAGAGAGAGACACAGTGAGAGAGGGAACACAAGCAGGGGGAGTGGAAGAGGGCACCCCAGGAAATAGAAGTTTTGTTTGCACTGTATATTCTAGTGTGCTATTTCCCATTCTGGGGCATGAGCTACGGACGGCCTTACATCTGAAGCAATAGAGTACCGAGCAGAACTGAGGAAAGATGCAGAACCACAGCCACGGACCATCTGATGATATTTTCACACTCTGGACCACATGATGACAGTGCTACGGCCTGTTCTCCTGCAGGTAAGTATCCTCCTGCCGCCATCGTCCATTGCACGTATGTATGCTGACCGTGGGCTATGAGTGGAACAAGACACACACACGCTCTGGTCTGCCCTGGTGACAATCAACTAAATGCAGGGGACCCGCCCAAGACAGTGTGTTAGTAAATACGGGGAGGCCACCTGACCTCTGTGCACTTCTCTCAGGGTGGTCTGTAGCCACTATAACTTAGCTACTGGTTATCATGACCGGCCACGTTCTGGAGGGAGTGATGCTTGCCCGTTGTCTCCAACCCATCTATTGTTCTTTTCTTTTAAGATTTTATTTATTTATTTTATCAGAGAGAGAGAGAGCACGAGGAGGGGGAGGGGCAGAGGGAGAAGCAGGCTTCCCACTGAGCAGGGAGCCCGACGTGGGGCTCAATCCCAGGACCATGGGATCACGACCTGAGACGAAGGCAGACACTTCGCCGACTGAGCCACCCAGGTGTCCCGCCAACCCATCTATTGTTCTTGAGACTACTCATTTTGGGTGCACCTGGCTGGCTCAGTTGGAAGAGCTTACGACTCTTGATTTCACAGTTGTGAGTTCGAGGCCCGTGTTGGGTGTAGAGATTACTTAAAAATAAATACACTTATAAAAAAAGATTACTCATTTTTGGTGAAGAAAGAGTGAAAGCAAGCAGCTCACTGGCAAAGCGTTCAGGATCTCCTACATCTCACTCTCCAAATTCACAGCGGCCTTGAATGAAAAGGAGAATTGCTACTCTTTAAAAGAGAGGAGCATGGGGCGCCTGGGTGGCTCAGTCATTAAGCGTCTGCCTTCGGCTCGGGTCAGGATCCCAGGGTCCTGGGATCAGCTTCCCTGCTCCGTGGGAAGCCTGCTTCTCTCTCTCCCACTCCCCCTGCTTGTGTTCCCTCTCTCACTGTGTCTCTCTCTGTCAAATAAATAAATAAAATCTTTAAAAAAAAAGATCCTTAATTTAATCACATCTGCAAAATCCCTTTCACCATAAAAAAATAACACAGATTCTGAGGATTAAGACATGGATATATTTGGGGGCCATTAGTTAGCCTACCAATACTGTGACCAGTCCACCCCAGGACCTCCTGCTCAGAAGCATCCCACTCAATGCTGAGGCTTGGAGGAGCCTAATAGAGCAAGACTCTCCCATAATTTATCTAAGTAGCTCTCCATTAAGCTGTTTTCAAACTTTTCCTATTATAAGCAATGTTGCTTTGAGTATTCTTGACGTCACTTCTCCATATGTGAGTATATCCTTAGGACACATTATTAGGAGTAGAATTGCTGGGTCAAAGAATATGGGCACTTTAACCTATTTCCCTATATTCTTGCTGACAACAGATCAACTTTTTAATATATATATTTACCAACTTGATAGGTGAAAAATGGGGTCTCAGTATAGCTTTTTCTTTATTTTAAAATAAATTATTCTTTTTTAAAGATTTTATTTATTTGACAGAGAGAGACACAGCAAGAGCAGGAACACAAGCAGGGGGAATGGGTGAGGGAGAAGCAGGCTTCCCACTGAGCAGGGAGCCCTATGCGGGGCTTGATACCAGGACACTGGGATCATGACCTGATCCGAAGGCAGACGCTTAACAACTGAGCCCCCAGGTGCCCCTGAAGTAATTTAGGCATATTTTTAACACTAGGTTTCGTTCAATAGCAAGAGGGTCCCTTTGCAGTTCTGCTGGGATAACCATAGTCACAGTTTAGCAAGTCTGGGGACCAGGAGAGGTGATCAAGACAGAGTTAATCCTCAGGAACAAGGTCAGAGCCCACTTACTAGACTTGGATCCAATCTCAGGGCAGCAAAGGGCATTTATCTCAATAGTTGCTGTCCACGAACATGTAATAGGAACTGTTGGCATCCTGTTGCCTCCAGTCATGGTAGACACTGGGGCCCTGGGCTGAGCTCTGTCTTTGGGTGAGCAAGTGACTCTGGAGATGGAGGACAGCAGCCCTACAGACCTTCCCCTGAGACTGTAAGGTGATACGGAATGCCAAATACTGCCAGCAACCTGCCCATCCATTAGGACTGGCCTTAGCAGTGTTGAAGGTTGCTAGGAAGAAGTGAATGGGGTTGAGACTCCTCGGCTCTGGCAGAGATTTGCCCTGTCAGTGAGCGTGTGAGAGTGATATTCAGTCCCCAGCACGTCCGAGTCACAAAGATCACCACTGGCATCTCAGGACTGAATCTGAGATGCCCTCAGAAATATTTCTTTAGTCAATGTGATTATAAAGCCAAAAGTGGCTGTCAGATTGGGCAAGGAGACAAAGCTAGTCTCCCAGGTCTGATGTGGGCATGTCCTCCTTAGTATCACCCCAGCAACCTGAGGAGGCGTTCAGGGTCCTTCTCCTCCCATCACTCAACCTGTTTTCTACCAGCATGAAATAACTTCCTTCCTGGTAGAGAAAAGACCACCTCCCCCCACCCCACTCTGGCCCAGGCACAGCTGGTTGATTTGTTCCAGAAGGAGGTGGTGAAGCAAGCAGCGTATGGTTGGGGATTGCTCCCTGATCCCACATAGCGCCTCCTGCTGGTGACTGACCCCAAGACTTACTGTGGAGCCTTTCATTCATTAATTAGTTCCTTTCTTTTTGGCTTTGAAGTTTCAGGAGCTTTGCTATAGGTAAGATCACTTTTGCAGAAAAAGAAAGATGGTCCAGTTGTCTACTTTTCCTGATTTTCTTTTGAAAGGAACATTAAGCAATTTCAGGATGTTAGAAAAGCCCTAAGATCGTGGAGAGGCGGCTTGCCTGATCAACTTTATCTGGGTAGGGGCACCTGGGTGGCTCAGTCGTTAAGCATCTACCTTTGGCTCAGGTCATGATCCCAGGGTCCTGGAATCGAGCCCCACATCGGGCTCCCTGCTCAGCAGGAAGCCTGCTTCTCCCTCTCCCACTCCCCCTGCTTGTGTTCCCTCTCTCGCTGTGTCTCTCTCTGTCAAAATAAATAAAAATCTTTTTTTAAAGATTTTTATTTATTTATTGAGAGAGAGAGAGAGAATGGTAGAGAGCATGAGAGGGAAGAAGGTCAGAGAGAGAAGCAGACCCCCTGCCGAGCAGGGAGTCCGATGCGGGACTCGATCCTGAGACTCCAGGATCATGACCTGAGCCGAAGGCCGTCGCTCAACCAACTGAGCCACCCAGGCGCCCTAAATAAATAAAATCTTTAAAAAAAATGACAACTTTATCTGGGTAAAAGATCTGGTGAGTGTTAAGAGTTGCTCCCAGGGCCCTCATCCCCCACCTCAAAAGCCCGCCACTGGCTTGGAGAAAAAGTTTCCCACTGAAAAAGATAAGACAACCCCCTCACGGCAGCAGAGATTTTACCCCTTTGCTTTTTCCATAGAAATTGCAGAATTTGTCTGGAGGCCACTAGGACTGAGTCGGTAACTGAGATTAGAGCTGTTTTCCACAACCCTTTCCTAGGCAGGTGGGGCTTTGGGACAGATTAGTGAAGGTGTTGTCTTGTGCAGAGCTTGTGGATGCCTCCAGTGGGCCCACGGGAACCCTGTGGAGGTGAGGCAAACCAGGGAGACATTTGCGATTGACATTAGAGCAGGAATCGCACCGTCCTCCACTTCAATGCAGAAAAGTAACAAGAAAAAGCTTTTGCTGGATAATTTTCATTTTAACTATTCACGCAATTTTCCCAGATCTTGAGCATTCTTTGCTCTCAGTGTGACCTTCTGCCCTTCAATTTTAGACGTGCTTGGGAAGCAAAATGAAACCCCTGCATGGGGGCGGGAGGATTCTCTGTACCTCTGGAGCCAGGAGAGTTTAGAGCTGGAGGCGCAGCTAGAGGTGACCCTCGGAAGCAGAAGTTCCCAGTTATGCTAAGGGAGCCCATGCTCTAAAAGGAGAAGCAGATAATGTATTTCCAAAACACAAGTCATACCTCTGTGTGACAGTGAAAAGAGAAGGGCTGAGAGAAGAGCTTCCCTCAGCCGGACAGGCTACAGAATCTGTGGGACTCAGTGCAAAAAGAAAATGCAAGCCCCTTGGTCAAAAAACAGGAAAAAAATTCTGTTAAAGGTTGAGCGTCTGCCTTCAGCTCAGATCATGATCTCCGGGTCCTGGGATCGAGTCCCGCATCGGGCTCACGCGCTCTCTCTCGCTCGCTCGCAAAAATAAATAAAATCTTAAAAAAAGAAAAGGACAAACAGTGATTCCACTTATATGAGGTCCTGAAAATAGTCAAACTCATAGAAAGCAAAAGTAGAAGGGTGGTTGCCAGGGGCTGGGAGGTTGGGGGATGGGAGGTATCATTTAATGGGTAGAATTTCAGTTTGGGAAGATGAAAAAATTCTGGAGATGGATGGTGGGAATGTTTGCACAACGATTTGAAGGTGCTTAATGACACTGAACTTTACACTCAAAAATGGTTAAAATGGTAAATTTTATGTTATATATATTTTACAACCCCCCCGCCCACATACACAGGAATACATGAGTTTTTTCCTTCTTTCGAGGTCTCTCTCTTGACTTGTCTTGGTATTATTTTATTTGCTAATATTGTTCTAAGTAAAGAAAAATTAATCTCAAATTTTTAGCATGAATTTTGCCCTTTATATTGTGCAATGCTAGTTTTTTGTTTTAAAGATTTTATTTATGTATTTGACAGAGAGAGCGAGGGGCTGGAGGGAGAGAGCACAAGCAGTGGGGAGCGGCAGGCAGAGGAAGAGGGAGAAGCAGGCTCCCCGCAGAGCAGGGAGCCTGATGCGGGACTCGATCCCAGTTCCCTGGGATCATGACCTGAGCTGAAGGCAAACGCTCAACCGACTGAGCCACTGAGGTGCCCCAAGTGCAATGCTAGTTTTAAATTAAAATATCATAGTATTTAACTTGTATTTGAAATCACTGAAATTACACAATTCGAATTTTGTGGCTCCCAGAATGTACCTCGCGCTGGTTAGAAGAGACAAATACAAGCCAGGCTTAGGAAAGTTGGAAGGAGGAAGCAAGGATGGCCCAGGCACAGAGCCTGTAGA